CTGCAAAGGTACTCTGCTATATACATCAATGCAGAGCCTATCATTGTTTCTGAATTGATCATTTAAAACTCCAGATCAGAAAAGATGAGACTTCATGTCCATAATAAGCTTTCATTTCTCACAGGAGCAAGCTCTACCCATGATGACATCATATCCTCCTTCTATAGGGAATAAACCTTTAAAAATAAATATGTGGTTGTCCTAGTTATAGAAATAGATTTTTTTATAACTGAAATGAGGAGATAATCACTGGTTGTGGATATAAACTTGAAGGATGGTTTTGAAATAAAAGTTGTACCCCTTACAAATAACCTCGCTGCAAAAGAAACTTTATTTCTTTGCTCAGAAATAAGTGTCTTACTAAAATTATTGCTCTGTTATCTGTTCTGTCACAGTGGAGACATCATTGCCTTTGAAAAATCTACTAATTATGACAGCATCACCCAACAAGACGGAACAGTGAGTGCTGAATAAAATAGATTTACTATAATAGCCCCAGAAATATTCAGTAATTGCTTAATTAGATGCACCTATTTCCTTGTGTGTAATGTTCTTATTATGTGTAGCCCTAACCACTCAACCATTTGACCAGAATTTTTGTGTGTCCACTGTGTGCCACACATACTGCTGGGACGATGAGGTCCTTGTCATCAAGGAGCATACTGTGTGGCTGCCCATCAGCTGTTTAATGTGTTTCTTTCACTATAATTAAAAAAGTTGTATATCTTGTGAACAATAAATATGTGTTAAGTGTCTCTATATTACAGTTATAGCTCTTCGAATTAGGAAACAAGAACTAGTAATAGCTATGCCATCACAAGTTCAATTTTAGTTGTCCAAAACAATATGATAGCTCTTTGATGCTGTCTTGTTGACAAGTGTCATGGAATGGACAACCTTTTAAGAACCTGTCTTGTGACTAGCACTCTTGAAGACTGAATGAGGTATGAAAGAAAACTGAAAACACTAATGAAAAAACTATTCTCCCTATATTTGAATAGAATACAATTTTGGATACTTCCAGTCAAGGTGGCAGCGTAGGTAAATGAAGTACTCAAATTCTTCCACAACTACATCAAAATTACAGGTAAACTACAAAACAGCCATTATTCAGAGCCTCCTGAAATCTAGCTGAATGGAAGTACTACAACTTGGGATTTAAAGAAGAAGCCACATTGAGACTACATTGACTCCTACACAGGAGCTCCTCACTGTAGTTGCAGCCGGTCCTCACAGCCAGTTGGCCTGAGAGTCCATCCGTTTCAGTGATGCCAGCAACAATCACCTACAACAGGACAGTGCACACAGTCCATACAGGAGCACACCTGGAGTGCCCAGCTTGGGTGACTGGGGAGGCTGTGCCACTGGGCCCTACACAACACCTGCTACACAAGGCCACTCTACTGAGTCAGGGAGATGTAACTGCTCTACCTAATACATAGAAACAAGCATAGGGAAGCAGCCAAGATGCAGAGACAAAGAAAAAGGCCCCAGAGGAAAGAACAGGAGAAATCTCCAGAAAAAGAACGAAATGAAATGGAGGCAAGCAAACTACAGAATACAGAGCTGAAAACAATGGTCATAAGGATGCTCAAGGAACTTAGAACTTGAACAGCTTAAAAAAGAACACAGAAGCCATAAAAAAGAACCAATCAGAAATGAAGACTACACAAACTGATATGAAGAATAATTTACGGGGAATAAAAATAGAGTAGATGACACTGAGAATCCAATCAGTGATTTGGAATATAAAAAAGCAAAAACACTCAATCAGAACAGCAAAAAGAAAAACGAGTTAAAAAAATGAAGATATAGTATAAGGAGCCTCTGGGACAACTTCAAAAGTACCAACATTCACTTCATGGAGTGCTGGAAGGAGGAGAGAGAGAACAAGAAATTGAAAGTCTATTTGAAAAAATAATGACAGAAAACTTCCCTTACCTGGTGAAGGAAATGGACATACAAGTCCAGGAAGCACACAGAGTCCCAAATAAGATGAACCCAAAGAGACCCACACCAAGAAAATGCTAAAAGTTAAAGACAAAGAGAGAATCTTAAAAGCAACAAGAAAAAAGCAGTTAGTTATCTCCAAGGGAGCTCCCATAAGACTGTCAGCTGATTTTGCAACAGAAACTTTGCAGGCCAGAAGGGAGTGGCATGAAATATTCAAAGTGATGAAAATCAAGCACCTACAACCAAGATTACTCTACCCAACAAAGCTATCATTTAGAATCAAAAGGCAGATAAAGAGCTTCTCAGACAAGAAAAAGCTAAAGGAGTTCATCACCACCAAACCAGTATTACATGAAATGTTCAAGGGTCTGCTTTAACAAGAAGAAAAAAAAGATAAAAAAATATGAACAATAAAATGGTAATAAATACATATCTATCAACAGTTGAATCTAAAAATCAAAATAAATGAGCAAGCAGAACAGAAACAGAGTCACAGATACAGAGAATATTTTTGGTGGTTGCCAGATGGGAGGGGGGTTGGGGGATGGGTGAAAAAGGTGAACAGATTAAGAAGTATAAACTGATTATTACAGAATAGTCTTGGGGATATAAAGTGCAGCATAAGGAATATAGTCAATAATATCGTAATAACTATGTATCGTGTCAAATGGGTATGAGATTTATTGAGATGATCTCTTAGTAAGTTACAGAATGTCTAATCATTGGAGTGGACACCTGAAACTAATATAATATCCCATGTCAACTGTAATTGAAAAATAAAATTAACAAAAAAGAATACAGCTTTATAATTGGGGAGCAGAGATAGACATGAAACAATTGTGTTCTATTCAATGGGCAATGCATGCTATCAGTGGTGTGGTAACCCCAAAGTGGGAGGGAGGAAAAAAGATTGTGTTTGGGTTTTCCTGGGAAAGGAAGCCCATGTTCATTTCCTATTGCTGCTGTAATAAATTAGCACAAATTTGATAGCCTAAAACAACACAAACTTATTATCTTGCAGTTCTACAGGTCATAAGTCCAACACAGTTTCTCCTCTTCTTTAGGCTAAGATCAAAGGGTTGGCAAGGCTACGTTCCTTCTGGGGGACCCAGGGGAGAATCTGGTCCTTGACTTTTCCAGCTTCCTGAAGCTGCCCTGTTCCTTGGCTTGTGGCTCTTCCTCAGTCTTCAAAGCCAGCAAAGGCAGTCCTTCTCCATGCTGCCACCTCTATGATTCTCTGCACCTGCGGAAGGTTCTTTGCTTTTAAGGACCCTTTTGATTATATTGGGGGCCACCTGGATGATCCAGAATAATCTCCCCATCTCAAGGCCCTTAGCCTTAATCATATCTGCAAAGTCCCTTTTGCCAGGTAGGGTTCCAGGCATTAGGATGTGGACATCTTTGGGGGCCATTACTCTGCTTGCCACACTGCCCTTGCAATGGTTCTGGAATGGTCACAAGGATCCTTCTTTAGGAGCTATTCATCTTGAGGGCGTAGCTTGAATTTGTGCTGGGAGGTATGTGGGCAGTGAGGAGCCAGAGGTGAGGATGCTGGGGAGCAGGAGACTCTGGGTGAGGTCCAGATGGTCGACAGCTTGTCAGTGCCAGGCTGAGGAATTTGGATTTCATCCATTGAGGCATCTTCAAAAGGAGATGCATTTGCTTTGGAAGTGATAATTCTGGGAGTAGTGTCTTCAAGGATGCAGGAAGAACAAAAGACATTGAGGAGAATTGATGGAGTAATCAGGGGAGGCAGGTGGTTCCTAGAGGGTTGGGTCATGTCAGGAAGACCCCTTAATTGTATCTCTAGGGATTGCCACATGGCATGTGTGCACTGAAGGTTGGTGGAATAAATGAATGACAATAATTCCAATCACATTTCTTGGATCTGTTGAAAATCCCAAATTGCATTTAATATACCTGTAAAATCTAAATAGAATTTCTCTTTTTTCTTTGTTATTTTGCCGAATGACTTCTCCAGACTGGGAATCCCTCTGGTTCTTTCCTGAATGCCTCCTGCAGAATTCAAGCTTGAGTAGAGTTCTGTACCACACTTTTTAAGATTTCTGATTGTTTATATGTGAAGAGAAGATTTCAGTGCATGATTAAAGTTTTTTTTACCAAAAGATCAGTTCTTTTCACAGGAAATGGCCTGAGGGAATTGACTTCAAAAAACACATAAATTTACTTTTATTGTTTTATTTTGGAATAGCTTACCCTTATATTCTCCTTGTAATAATTTCTGTAATAATTACTACAATACTGTATTTTCAGATGACTTCTTCTGAGCAGGTGAAACTGTGATGCATTTGCCATGTTGCAATATAGAGATTTATGCAGAGTTGGACAAAGAACAGTCTGCTTGGAGCTGATGCTCTCAACTTGAGTGTACATGTGGCTCATTTGGGAAGCTACCTACAATGACAGATTTCTGGTGTCATTTGACTTACTAAGGCCCTAAAAAGATGAATCCCAAGCACCCCCAGGGATTCTAATATAGATGGTTTCAGGACCACACTTAAGAACTATTGGCTTTGATCATTAAGGTTACCTTTTTCCTCCTTGATAGAAACAGTTTACCTTTCTGTAAATCATTCTTCTAAAGAAAAGTCTACACCTTTCATTTTCCATGGTAGTTAGGGCCCAAGGTTTCTGATACAACTAGCCATTTTATAATACAGACGGGGTGACTCAGGGAGGGACAATTAGGTGAACGAGGGTTGTAAAATTTATTGGTGGCATTAAACTATTTACAGATAGTATTTTTTATTGCACGTTACTATACAGCCCTTGTAATAAATGACCACAAGAGTGATAATTTTGGGTAATATATTAAGTTCTAACTCTTCCCTGGTGACCATAGTTCATAGAATTATAAAGAAAGGTTAGTATCTTTTGAAATGAAATGAAGGGAAACATTGCTGAGATCAATAATGTGTGCAGAGGTAAGGATAAAAGACTACATAATAGCAATATGATTATTGCACAGTTTATATGTGAGAAAAAGCATTTTAAAGAAATAATCCATTGCTTAAGTGGTTTTCTAGTGTGAAAATCATTCACTGATAACAGACCCAATTGGATTGCCTTTGTCTGAATTCAGGATATGTTTATTCTGAGAGCAAAGACTGGCAAAGAAAAACTCCTATAGAATGGTAGGTTTGCATGCCTGGGGGGCCAACTTCTCACACCTTTAATACCCCAGGCAGTGCGTGTCTTCTTACTTGCTTGTTAAGATTGTTGTACCAGATGGAGTGATATTTGCCTTCTCCCAGACCCATGAGGACCAGCATTTCCTCCTGGACTTGGTGGTGGTCAGGACATTCAGGTCTTCCCCTCGTCCTATAAAAAGGCTGCACCTAGGCCCACTCTGTCATCTTCTAGAGTGAGGGCCTCCCATGACCGAGAAGGCAACCAATATGTGGATTTTCTAGAATCTGGGACTAAGTAATATGGAGAGGAAAAATTGGGGTTTAGGGAGAAAGATGTTGATGGTTGATGACCTTTATAAAGATTGGCACAGACCCTGGAGTTATGACATCAAACCTGAAGCTACCTCAGCATTGGGCCGATAGAGTATGCATCACTCCATAGAGGGAGGAACTCAGCTACTGCTGAGCCCAAGGACCTCAGAGAGGCCTTCGCGGAGCAGTTAACTCCTGGAGCAGCCTGCAAAATGAGATACTTTTCCATCTCCTTCCTAGATGGCCTTTCTTGCTGATGAATACTGCAACTACTGTCAAGACATTTTACAAAGCGTGAGGAACCAAGAACTTGAGAGGGTAGGATTTTACCTATAAAATACAGACATTTATGACTCACTGTTAACCGTTTTACTGGAAAAGACACTTCAAGGGATGTCTTGTGGTAACTGCACTAAAAGGCTTAGAATTCAGCTATTTTATAATGAATGAGCTCTTGAGGGTGACATTTTTATTCAGTTTAATCACTTGGGAATTTTCCAAGGTGCTAAGATAGCTAACTCTATGCTTTATATATATTTACACCCTGCCCAAGTAACTCGGTTAGAGCACGGTCTCTGTAAGTCACGGTTGCAGGGTCAGTCCCTGGTCAGGGCACATACAAGAATCAACCAGCCCGGCCGGGCATAGCTCAGCCGTTGAGTGTTGACCTAGGATCCAGGCGATCGGGGTTCGAATCTCTGTCAGGGCACATGCCCATGTTGGGGGCTGCAGGAGGCAGCCGATAAATGACTCTCTCATCATTGATGTTTCTCTCTCTCCCTCTCCTTTCCTCTCTCTGAAATCAATAAAGATATATTTAAAAAAAGAAAAAAAGAACCAGTGGTGCACAAATAAGTGGAACAACAAATCCATGTTTCTCTCTCCCTAAAGTCAATAAAATAAATAAATATGATTCAGCTATTTTCTAGACCCTAATTCCAGCTGGTTTTGAATAAAGCATTGGTAATATTATTTGCCCTGGGATTTTCAATGATGCCAGAGTCATTCCACTGCCACGTGCCAACTGCGAAAGACGCAAGGCTGGAACGGGTGCTCTGACCTGGATATTGTAATGATTGGATGGCGGAAACATGAATACGTCTTCTAACCACTCTGAGTTTTATCGTTTGCAGTGCAAAAGTGGAAATCTAGGGAGACGAGTATACATTTGAACAAAAGCTTTTCTAGTGCCTTCGTGTTCTAAATACTTAACTCTGGGCGATAAGATTCATTCAGCCTAAGTACATTCAGTGCTTATCAGTGTAAAGCACGCTAGTGACATAGAGACCAAGATGTCTTCGGAAGGGCCTTGTTTTATTGATGTAATGCTTAAAATATACACCCATGTTGGATATCTAGTTCCCCTTTATTCATTCATTAATATTAACTCAATTCTTACCCTGTGACCAGTAACTTTTCTGGAACTAGGGAGGTATTTTCCATAAGGCTTGATAAACTGATAGTCTGGTACTAAAAGGAGCACTATAAGTCAATACATATGATACGGTATGGAAAGTTCTAGAGTAGCAGTATGATTGAACAATCCTGGGTGCCCAGAGGTGGAGCAGCAGATATGGTGAGAGAGTGCTCCCAGGGGAGGCCCTGTAGCTGGGCTCTAATGGGAAAGCAGAGGTTCACCAGACTAAGTGGGGTGGGAAAGGGATGTCAGGTAGAACAGGGGGTGTGGGCCCAGCGTGCACCAGGGTGCTCACAGGCACATGACAAAAGGGTCCTCAGACTAGATTTTATTATCTCTGAAGGAGAGAAGCCAGAGGGGAGGCAGGAAGGTGGGCTGGTGCTAGAAAGGGCCTCGCCTGCCCTGGGGAGAGGTCTGAGTTATTGGGAAGACAGGCTGGGGCAGCGACCCGATCGCCCTATTGGAACAGAGAGGGTTCTGTTCTGGGCAGGGTCAGAAGTGCCTCAGGAGGGCCCTCAGGTCTGGAGCAGTGACAATGACATCACAGAGAAATGCTTCTGAAGCAGATGCAGCAGGATCTGGTGACTTTGGACATGGTGGTGAGGGATTAGCAGAGATGAGCCTGTGGCTGCTGCCTCACTCAAACCCACCAACCCCAAAGGCCGTGCTTCCAACTTACCAACCTGAGAGGCAAAGGATTAATATTCCCCGCCCCTCCCACCCTCTATTTTTTGTTGACTGTCTGTGAGGCTCCTTGGAGATGCCTCCTCTGGAATTCATGCCCCTAGCAATGGCTCAGCTTCAGGTCGCTCAGGAGTCGGCCCTAACTTCCGGGACAGCTGCAGGGGCGGGTCCCTGTCAGGGTTGCGATGCCTCAGAGTACTTGAGCCTGCAGAAGCCCCCAGTAGTCAAGAGACTTTATTAACTGGCAACTCAGACTGGCCACCTGGTCAATCGTGGGCTCTGAAAAGTCAAATGGGGGAAAATAAAGAAAAGGAAAGAAGCTGCCACTTTGTTCCTCAACAAAAGCTGCTCTTGTCAGCCTTACGGGAGGCTCCTGCACAGAGTGAGCCCAGGCCCCTCTGGCTTACACAGTCCTTAGGCGAATTCTGAGTCATTGTCAAGGAGGTGGCCTCTTTGCTTGCACGCTGTTACCGCCTTTCAGAGCTGAGAAATAACTGAAGGTTGGACAGTCCATGAACATTTCTCCTAAACTCTGGTCTGTGCCCTCTGGCCATCCTCTCACCCTATTATAATCAACAGGGGCCCCCTTGTGGTTAAAACATCTTTCCTTCCAGAAAACTTCCACATGAAAATAGGTTCCATCCAGCTAGAAGAGCTGAAGGGTCAGGCTTTCCATTAATTGGAATGAAATTCACCCCACTATCACTTGGGGCTGGTTAGGTATCTATGGGGGATTAGTCTCACCAGGCACAAAGTGAGTTTTCAGAGATCTGTCCGGTTCCTTACCTCAGGTGGAGGACTTGCTTACTTCCTTCTGGAAATCTCTGCCGCAAGACACAGTTGTGTTCATGTCATTGCCTGAAGTGTGCCAGCTTTTTAAATGCTATGATGTCCAGATGTACAAGGTAAGAAGATGTTCCTTTAGTTGCCGGTTTGACCCTTCCCAGAAGTTGGTCCAGATGCAGGGTTAGGACCACAGCCCTTCCTCCCTGCAGCTCCATGACGTCAGGCCTCTGAGGGGTGACCAGTGGGGCTGATGGGTCACAAGCTGTGGTCCTTTCCTGACACTCAGCTTTTGTTTTGAACCAGTGAGAGTCTGTACTACCTCATGTAAAGAAAAGCTAATACACATGGTAGCCTATGGCTTCAGTGACCAGGGAACCCCAAACTGAGCCAAAGTTCTTTCTCTGGGAATTTCAGCAAAAGAAGACTTTTAAAATGAGTAATTAAAAATCTAAAGAACAAAATAAACTCATGAACAAAACAGATCCAGAGACATAGAAGCATGGAACAGACTGAGGGATCTCAGAGGGCAGGCGGGGTGGGGAGTGGGTGGGAGAGATTAACCTAAGAACTTCTGTCTATAAGCTTAACCCGTGGACACAGACATTGTTAAGGGGAAGGCCTGGGAGTGGGGTGGATGCAGCATGGAGGGGACCAATGGGGGGATGGGACATCTGTAATACTTTCAACAATAAATTTTTTTAAAAAGAAAGAAAAGTAAAAGAACTCTCAGGCTTTGGTTGCTGCTCCCTCGCTTTCCCGGNGTAATTGGAATAATTGCTTTGAAATATGCATAACTGCCAAGGGGTTTGTTTCTTTGTTTTTAAACTATCTCTAGAGTGATTATTATAGTTCGGGGGTCAGTTATATTTTCTCTACAGTTTCTGTGGTGAAAATCTGTTGTTTTTTTAAGCTGGTTATGAACTTATTTTTTAATCTTCACCAGAGGATATGTTTTTATTGATTTTTAGAGCGAGAGGAAGGGATCGAACTCACAACCTGGGTATGTGCCCTGGCCGGAAATCGAACCCACCACATTTTGGCCTACTGGCTGATGCTCCAGCCAACTGAGCCATTGGGCCAAGGCCACTTTTTATTCTATTTTTTTAGGAAACAATCTTGTGCTTCTAAGTTTTTAATACAAAGGATGAAAACCAGCCCCTGGGTTCAGCCATTAAAATATTTTGCTTTAACCCACCTAGTGTTGGCCAGTATAGAGTTTTTTTAATTTTTGGATCAGTTATCAATATTTTAAGCTCTTTGAAAAAATTCAGAGTCTTTTCCTGCACAGTGGGCTGTTTCAGGGGCTGCATGGTGGCTGCCCTCTTGGACCAGGTGGGACCTTCTCTCTGAGCTTGTGGCACATGTGACCTTTGGCTGCTGGTAACCAGTGGACCCCGGCACTGGCTGGCAGTCACTCCCTCTCCACACTTCTCTTAGGGAATTGAGGATGTCCTCCTTAATGATTTTCTGGAGGATGTTTCTATTCAGTACCTGAAAGCTGTCCGGTTATTCAGTAAGAAGTTTAAGCTGTGGCTACTGAATGCCTTGGAAGGTTTTCCAGCCCCCTTACAGATCTCCAAACTCAAAGGTAGGCTTCCGTGGGGAATAAATAAGCTCCTGGGGTAGATTCAGAGCCTGACTTTGAGACGGAGCAGGACTCCTGGCTGTGTAATGCTCTTCTCCCTCAAGCAGGATGCAACCCTGCTCAGACCTTGGGCTTGCTTTCCAGTGCCCACGGTGCATTCCTGTGCAGGTCCACCCCAGCCTTTACCCGTTCCCCTAATGAATAATAACAAGGAATCTGGGCAGGTCAAGGGGTGGAGATGTAGAAAAGAAGCCTGACTGCCGTTAAGGTAGGGAGAGCCGGCTGGTGCAGCCAGGCCACCCCCTGCACACCACTCCTCTTCCACCAGCTCCCCCGGCAGCCCGCAGTCCTCACTCCTTGCCCCTCAAGCAGGGCTGACCAGGGCTCAGGCACCAATATCCTTCCTCCTCTCTGTGCTCTATGACCTCCCATAAGGCCTTCAAAGAACAGATTTCTCCTTAGAAAGTCCTCCCACATCCTTCCCTTTCTCATACCTGTGGGGCCACCAGGGTGCTGGCAGCTTCTCAGTGCCTTCTCCCTCCTGACTTTCTAGAATACTTTTCTTTCTGTCTGGCTGCCCGGCTATGGTCCCTGAAACAACTTTCACCAGGCCACCTGTCCATTTAAGGCCAACCAGGGCTTCCAACCTGCAGTGTGGATGCCAAGCCTGTGCTCCTGGAAACAGCCATTTCCTCCTCCTGCCTTTGTGAAGCTTTCCCCCTCATTGCCTAGAGGGGCACCCTCCAGCAGACCCCACCCAGGCCTCTTTTTCTTGGGCCAGCTCAGGGCCACTCCTATCACCGGGCCCTCCCCAGTTACCTCCTTCCTCTTTGCACAGCTTTGCTGGCTTCTCAGAGGGCCCACAGAATAAGGGGCCATGTCTAATTTTCACTCACCACCCCTGTAGCATGACACCTTGGGAATCTTGATCCCAGTTTGACCCACTTGAAAATTTTCACCTGGCCAGGCTGGGCCCATGGGTGCATGTGGTTGCCAGCCAAGAAGGCAGCAGGGTGGGGGCACCGCAGAGAGAAAGTAAGGTCCCACTGTGAGAGAGGAAGAAGCCGCTCCAGCTCCCTGGGGTGACGTTACCACCTGCCCCGACTCCCCTCGGTTTCTGTCCCTCCTCTGGCTTGCTTCTGTAGCTTCTTAGTTTGTTGACCATCCTGCCCCCAACCTCAGTCACATGCCCCTCCAGACCCAGTGATCATTTTAAAACAGTGATTTGATCAATTAAAACCTTCCATAAACCCGCCCCCTGAAGGGCCGGCTCTTCTTCATTCATTGTGCAAAGTCGTTCACCCCTGGCCTCCAGCCCCATTCCCCAAGGGGCTCCTACTGGTGCCCCTCTGCAGCACAAGGCTGGTTGTCCCCAAAGAGGCCTTTCCTGCTGCTTTCCCTGCCCGTTGCCCGGCTAACTCTTAACTTACACGTTCAAGCCCAGATTGAATGTCACCTTCTCAGTCAATTCTCTCTGACACCATCTTCCAGACAGGTCGGCCCCTCCCCTTTGCCTTTCCCCTTCCTCCCAGCCTACACAGGGCGGGGGTGGGGGACTGACAGACACACACACTTACCTGCAGCTGGCAAGTCGTTTGCACATCTGGTGGCCCATCCTCAGAGGGTGAACCCCTTGAGGGTGGAAGCTGCCCTCCTTTCGTCCAACAATTCAGCAAACAGCCAGCAAACATCTGTGGGGCAGACACTACAAGTGTCCCATAGAAATCTTTGTCACATGACAAAATTAATACATTCAAGACGAGAGCACCTTCCTCTCTGTTTTCTCTTTTCACCCTTTATTTTCCTGTGGTCATTTTCTGAGGCAGTCCCCGTAGAAATGAGAAAGTTCGGGGCCTCGGTGTCCAGGCAAAAATCCCAACTCTTTAAGCAGGCATGGCAGATGCTGGGATTACATAATTTTTCTGGGATGGTTGTGAAGTACTTTAGTCAAATTCCCCTGCCGAAATCTCCTAGGCACCTGGGAAAGAGCCAGTGGGCAGGGGGAAGACCAGGAGCGTGGAGGCCTCCCTGTGTGAAGGCGGCCGAGGCACGCGTCTTGTTCTCCCCGCGACCCCACAGAAGGACGCGGCGCTGTGGTATCAGTAACGGCCATGTATTTATTGTTCTTAACAGAAGTTACTGTGTTTGTGAAAAGACTAAGAAGAAAGACATACCTTTCCAACATGGCAAAGGTAGGTTTCTGCCGACCAGACAGGAGGAAACAGAGCAGTGTTCTGAAGTGAAAACTGAAAGCTGCAAGTCTGTCCTCAGAGCAGGGAGGCTGCTGCCTCCACCCAGAGGGCAGCCGGGAGGACCTCCTGGCCCCTGGCTGGGCTGCCCGCTGGGCCCGACATGCAGCCAGAGCCCACCCTCGCCTCCCTCCTCAGGGGGCCCTTCACCAGCTCTCGCTCAGGACAGAAAGCAGGGTGAGCGGCCACCGTTCTAAAGTGTCAGAGGCAGACCCCACGGGGCAGCCAGGGCAGCCAGGGTCAGAAGTGACAGGGCACCGTAGCAGAGCCTAGAACAGACAGAGCCCCTCCCATTGCCCATGGCCCGTGGGCGCTCTGTCCCTGCTGCTGGGTGCCTCCCCTGGGGTGATTATGTTACTCAGTGTTAGAGGAAGGCAGAGGAGGAGGTGTTAGATGCTGGAGGTGGGCCACTCAGGAATTTGCTCGGAAATCCCGTGGGCGTCCGATCAGGACAGAGTCAGGGATTGTCACCCTGTTCCAAACCCGTCCAAGCTCAGAGGGGCTCAGCTGAGCCTCCCGTTTAACTGTCTCCATTCCTGACTGGATCAGCTGCTGATGGCCCTGCGGCAGCCCAGCCCAGCTCAGGTGGCCAGCTCGGATCCATCTTCATACTTTCTATCACTTGGGGAAATTTACTGAATGCCACAGGCGCCCTTGCTTTATCCTTTGCAAAACGGAGGAGGCTCCAGGGGTGTGAGGACAACCTACAGACCCTGGAAATGTAGGGGACTGGGTTGTCCCCAGTGGACAACTGATAATATCAGCTCCCAGGGGCTATATTCACTGTCCAAGCCTCCCGAGAGGAGAGGACAGAGACAGCTTCTGAAGCCCAGCAGGCACCCCCAATTGGTCAGCACTGTGGCTTCTTTAGAGCCGCACTCTCCTCCCAGACCCTCCCTCACTGTTTTCCCCAGGAGAGCAATTAGGCTCGTGGAGTGAGTGCAGTGCAATGGAGTGGAGTCGAGTGGAGTGAGTGGAGTGAGTGCAGTGCAGTGGAGTGAGTGCAGTGGGTGCAGTGCAGTGGAGTGGAGTGGGTGCAGTGGAGTGGAGTGAGTGGAGTGGGTGCAGTGGAGTGGAGTGAGTGGAGTGAGTGCAGTGGGTGCAGTGCAGTGGAGTGAGTGGAGTGGGTGCAGTGGGTGCAGTGCAGTGGAGTGGAGTGAGTGGAGTGGGTGCAGTGGAGTGGAGTGAGTGGAGTGGGTGCAGTGGAGTGGAGTGAGTGGAGTGAGTGCAGTGGGTGCAGTGCAGTGGAGTGGAGTGAGTGGAGTGGGTACAGTGGGTGCAGTGCAGTGGAGTGAGTGGAGTGGGTGCAGTGGGTGCAGTGCAGTGGAGTGGAGTGAGTGGAGTGGGTGCAGTGGGTGCAGTGCAGTGGAGTGGAGTGAGTGGAGTGGAGTGAGTGGAGTGGGTGCAGTGGAGTGGAGTGAGTGGAGTNAGTGAGTGCAGTGGAGTGGAGTGAGTGCAATGGAGTGAGTGCAGTGGAGTGAGTGCAGTGGGTGCAGTGCAGTGGAGTGAGTGGAGTGGGTGCAGTGGAGTGGAGTGAGTGGAGTGGGTGCAGTGG